TTGACTGTTCTGTTTTACTCAGTAGGACCTAATCCTGATTGCTTTAATTCTCTTAATAATCATCTCATGAGGCAGACACAGACTGTGCTTTCCAATTTCCTCTATGCTCCTCTTCCTCTCCGTTTACCTTGCAGTTGGGTTGGATGTGTCTAATTTTGGCCAATGGGCTCTGAGCAGAAATGACATGTGTCACTTAAGAGCCAGTGTGCCCTCTCCAGCGCTCTCTCCCCTATCACAGCATCATTGGAAGCCACACAATGAAATGGGGTGGTAGGGTCACAAGACAGAACAAAATGGGATCCCTGAGTCACCAGATGTAGACTAGCTTCCATTAACCTACCTTTTGTGAGACTTTGGGTGAATGAGAGATTTGTTTTGCGAAGTCAGTGAGATTTCAGAGTTTGTTATTATACTGTAGGCTAACCTATCCTGATTAAGGTACCCTATTTTATAAATGAAAAAACTGAATCTTTCAGAATTTAAGTAACTTGCCCTAATCAAAGGGGCTACTTAGTGACCAAGTCTATCTGACTCACAAAAGCCAAATTCTGTGGTCTCCAGATCTGCTTTGGTACTGGCCACCATGGTATTTCTCATCCTGCTAGCTTCCTGTCATTTGGTTCCATCCAGGTTGTTCCTCCCATTCCTCTGCATCTCTCTTTGGCCTAGACAAACTACAATCTGCATGTCCAAGTCTTAAGCTATGACATTAAATCATAGAATTACACCTCATATTGTAATTCTGTCTTGGAATTTGAGTCTTGGCTGGTTGAGTTGGCCAATACTGAAAATGGCCGCTTAGCATCTGGCTTCTATTTGGTCTTTGGCTGAAACAAAACAAAAAAACCCTCAAAATTTATTTTCATCACTGAGTTTGTAGTATTTTCTGTTTTCATCCCCGAGCACAATAAAGAAAAAAAGTGAGATGTGGCTATATCACTGTAACTGAATCACTCAACTTGGTGGGTTGGAAGAACTTGCTCATAAGAAAAACTCATGTATTCAACAGATGTTATGTTGCAGAGGCCCTGATAGGTTCTGGGAATTCAAGGTGCATTTTTTACAACAGCCCTTGTTTTAAAGCAGTACACAATCTAATGATCTGTATAAATAAATAAGAGGCAAAAATAGTGTGATAAGCCCACGGGGAATCGACACTGTGATAACACAAATGGGAAAGTTGTCTTGTCTACCTGGAATGGTCTGGGTTCCCATGTGAACGGGTTAGTGCCACGGCTGGAAGAATTTTTCAGAGATTGCTGAATAGTGAATGTTGTGTTAAGTGGTTTCCATAAATCCACTCTCCACACCCCCTTCCCCAACCATGCTTTACAACTATGACATCTATTCCAAGGATGAGTAAACTGTTGTTCAGTAAAGGACAGAGACTTGCCTAAGGTCACACAAGTAGGATTTTTAACTCATTTTTGTCCAAGTCCAGAACTTTTCCCCCCAGTACACCAATCTGGTCTCTCTAATAAGACAGATGGGTTTATTTCTACAACCTCTGCTGTCTAATCCAAATGAATTCCCTGAGCCAAGCCCTCCGCAGCTCCGTGGCTGCTTGGGCTTCTTAGAAATTCCGCGCTCATCCTCAAGAGCTCACTACCTGCTGAGCCTTCTTATTGATTTTGAAATAAGAGCTGCCCTGTAAACAGTATCTGCTGCTTACTTCCTGGACTCCGGCTGGTGGGGTAAGAACATTTTTAGTGCACATGCTTCCCTGTTCTGTAAAACTGTGTTTATGCTTGGTCCCCCCGAAGGAAAACGATGCCCTTACTTTTGTCTCAGCCAAATTTGCTGCCTGGGCTTTTTCTAAACATCCTGAGAAGCGGAGCACTGCGCGTGCCCTTTGGCGCCATCTACTGGCACTGTTGGGAGTCTGACGGCGTCTCCCAGAGAGGAGTCGTGATATATTCAGTAACTAATTTAATGAATCTTGCTACTGCATTAGCAGATTCTTTTTTCCTACACGGACTAGACGGTGACCAATTAGTAAAGAGAGCAGATATAAAATACACTGTTGTTACTCAGTTGCTTAGTTCAGTTCAGTTCAGTTCAGTCGCTCAGTCGTGTCTGACTCTTTGCAACCCCGTGAATCGCAGGATGCCAGGCCTCCATCATCAACTCCCGGAGTCTACCCAAACTCATGTCCATCGAGTCGGTGATGCCATCAAGCCATCTCATCCTCTGTCTTCCCCTTCTCCTCCTGTCCCCAATCCTTCCCAGCATCAGGATCTTTTCCAATGAGTCAACTCTTCGCATCAGGTGGCCAAAGTATTGGAGTTTCAGCTTCAACATTAGTCCTTTCAATGAACACCCAGGACTGATCTCCTTTAGGATGGACTGGTTGGATCTCCTTGCAGTCCAAGGGACTCTCAAGAGTCTTCTCCAACACCACAGTTCAAAAGCATCAATTCTT